AGGCCTGGACTTCTATTAAAGTTGGTTCCTATTCTCATTTAGTATACTTTTTTATCTCTGATCCACAAGTAGCTGGGGTGGTTTATATCACAAAATCCTACCACAAAGTCATTTTTCTTTCAGACATCTCACATACTCTGAAGCTATTATCCCAACTGAAGAGTCAGATCCTCAGAGCTTAGCTAATTATTAACACCAGTGTAGCCCTGATGGGTTGATTGTATCTTATAATCCTATGGCTTATGGGCCCCCACTGGTGCACTTCCTACCATGAGATAAGTATCAGTCAAAAGCAATTATTCAGCCAGACTTAATTAGCCTCTAGAAAGGAATATTTACTAAGGTAGTATAGTAAGAACAGGTGGTACAAAGCATTCTCCCCCACAAGTGTGATACACTTATTGAAATGATTTACAGAGTTCAGGAGAATGGTGGGCTCAAAATTAGGAAGTACATGGTACAAAGAGCTAACTCACAACTCCTGTTTGTAAGTCCTTTTCTTCCCTTTGTAGGTGCTCAAAAATTTCTCTTTAGATATGATTTAGTATTTATTTACTTGGCCCCTTACGTAGTTTTGAAGCTGTCCTTCCTTATAATGACTCCAATTACAGAGGCAGACACTGTACCATGTGTTCTGAAAACACTATTAGGATGAGAACACCCTTGGGAAAAACTTAAATTCTGCAGTCCTCCAAAGTTCATGAAGTACTTTCCCAGCCAAGGGAGTCCAGGAGAGAGTTAGGAGACCTAGAGGAAAGCTGAAATACTCCCTCCTCTCAAGTGATTCCTTCTCTGGGTTAGGATTCTCTCCTTTCTGTTGGCAGACACTATAATCTCTTGGTCTCAACATCCTTAATAGTTTTATAAAGGCCCCAAGTGGGAGTGACCAAATCCCTTAGCCGGTTCAAACAGTGTTCCTGTCATATCTGCAGAGGTATCCTTCATAGCTGGTGAATAATCAAGGTGAATTCTCCCTTGATAAATGTATCAGGATTAAATAGGAGGGGATGATTTCAAACCTCTCCCTGCTCACCTTACACTTGTGTATCTAGTCTGTTCTTACCAAAGTTGGAAGAACCAAATTTTTAGGCGTGATGTCATCTGTGTTACATGAAAGAAGTCTCTTTGTATGCCAAGTTGGACATGGATTAGTCAGTATATATTAGGCACTATATCTCCACTGTGCCTTGCTGTCATTTAAGTTTAGTTTAGAGGAAAGAAAGCCAATGGGTTTTATAATAACTTATTTTTTGATAACTAGGGCACAGTTTAACCCAGAAGTGAACATATGACCACATGTAAGATAGTTTTCAAAGCATTTATTTTCAAACTTATTTTCACTCTAAATTGTTTTCCTAATGCCAACACCAGGATTATGATGATTACTATTTTTAGGTCAACTATAGTAATAGAGGTTTTTTTCGTCTTGGGTTAATTTAAGCTGATTTATCTTAAATTATGGTGACTAGAAAAGGAACATGAAACATTCCGAGAATAACTGAGACAAAAACATATAGCATCTAAGTTACCATTAGCAGATTTGATGTTTGACATATTCTCTTTAAAAATGTTAACTTTTATAAAAGTACTAAAATAATGATGCATTTTTATGTCTTCACTTTCAAGTGCCATGTCTTCTAAGTTTTGAGTATATATTTGTGAAATGTGCACATATCCAGGCCCAATACATGGTGGAATATTACTTTTCATAAGGTAGCTAGTGTTTTTTGAACCTTAGTAATGAGGACATTTCTAGATAGCAAGTAGCATGATTTGTATCATGGATGGACAAGAACCTTTGAATTATCTATATAATAACAATATTACTACATAGTCTTTGTACTGTAGGTATAATGAATAGCGAGTGTCCTTCAGAACTTTCAGACAATATAATTTATTACTTGCAGAGCTTTAAAGCTGTTGTACTAGTCTTGCAGATACCTTTTCTGCCAGAATTATAATAAGAGCCACTCCAGAGGCCTAATCAAGCATGAAAGTAATTTGGGGAAATGAAGACAAGGCTGGACAGCACTAAATGCAGGTTATAGAAGCCATGAAACTGGATAAAGTCATAAATACTAAGGTCAGAGAAGCAGAATAAGTTTTTTATAGTACAGTTTTTCTTTAATAAAAAAAATACCTAGGAAAATGCTTTAAAAGTATAATATGAATCATAATATAGCATTTTAACTCTAAAAAAGTTTTATGTGAGGCCATTTCTTGGGGGAGAGCATCTAACCTCACATAATTATCTTCATTGTAATACTTTTGAAACAGGCATTATGTCAGCTAAAATATCCAAAGATAGTGTTATTCATAAGCATTTCTATAATATAATTTAACCTAAAGAAACCATACTTTTTAGTAACATAGTGGAAAGGATGCTTAATTTGGAGTCAGGGGATTTAGGTAGTTTTGCTTCTTATTACCTGTGTGACCTTGATGAAATTATTTAACTTCTCAAGGCTTCATTTTCCTCATATGTAAAATTAGAAGTTTGGAGTTGATGACCTCTTAGGTCCCTTCCTTAGATAGGATCCTATGGTGATAGGATGTTTTAGTATTCTGCCTGGATTCCATACTTTGTAATACTTTTAGCCATATTCATTGAAATGTTTCATTATATTCTCTCTTACTGGTATATTTATTATATAAATTAACCTCCTAAGATTTCCAGCTGGAAAGAAAAATCTCTTGAGAGGAAAAGGATTTGGGTATCCAACTTTCCCAAGGATCTCCCACATGTTATTGAGTAAAGGCAGCCCCAGTGTTGTTCCTTATCTAGATAATATTTGGTTTTTATAGTATAGATATAAACTTGGGATTGACCAAAACCATTTTTTAAATAATAATCTTGAATATTATAAATAATGAAGTTATTATACTAAGCTACCTTTTGCTGTTTTTGTTGGACTGTTGCCATCCATCCTTTTAATGGAAAAGCTTTTTAGCGAACTACCCTAAGTAAACAATTTCCCCATTGCACTTTTTTTTTAGTAGAAGGAGAGATATAAAGACACCACCTTAATCATTTCTATTTTAAGTTGATACATCCTGTTTAGGAGTTCATAATATTTTAATGAAATTTAAATTACTAAATTAAGTAGAGATGAGTTGTAGGAAAACACTGGATACCAACTGGATTAAAGTTAAAATAAACAATGTGCAGCTAAGACCATAAGTTTTTGAGAGACCATAGTATAAGGGTATGATCATAGAAAAAACTCTGACCTGAGAACTGGGAGGCCTTAGAGCCAGGCCTGACTCTGTCACTAATTAGTTGAGTGACCTGTCTGAAATCACTTAAACCCGTTAGGTCATTAGTTCTTTCATGTAAAGAATCAAGAATGTTTAACTAGATAATCTCTAGGATCTCTTCCAAATCTAATATTTCATGATGCTATTAAGTTATTAGGGGGGCACAAAAAATCAAAAGCAAAGGATTATGCAGCTTATCAAAAAACAGCCTTTTGGAACATTCTTTACCAGAATAATTCTTCTAACTCATTACATGGAAACCCCCCCCCCCCCCGATACTGTATAAGTTTCCTTTCACTGTGTGACCCTTCTACATTATGACCAAAGACCGTTGAAGGCTCTGCTGCCATTGACAGTAGAGTAGTCCACAGACTGCTTTGATACTATGCACAAACCATTCCCAAATCTGTACCCACCCCTCTGACAAATTAAGGTCTTGACTTTCTCCTTTTCTTCTTTTTAGTGCATTGAGCATAGGCTTATATATGCAGAGATGGGAAAGAAGTGTTAAATCTAGGAAAGGCTAAAGGTTTACAAAATTGTTCTGGAAACAAAGAGAGGTATAGTACCAGGAATTCCAGGGAATACTTTCTTTGTGGCTACTGCACTTGAACTCTTGAGATCTATGACTTCTCCATGTGCAGAGGGGAAGTTGTATGGGGACAGAACAGATCTGAAATAAGACAAAGATGTATTCCAGATAAGTAATAGCAAATGATGTCATGTTCCTCATCGAGAACGAAGGACAAACAACAGCAGCAGCAACTGGAGTAAGAAAGGGGCATCTTAGTCTGGGGGAGCCAGTCTGTGGCAATAGCAACCTTAAACCTGAAGAAGAAGGTTGCCATCTGGTTTAGGAAAGCCCAGTTGAGAAACCTAGAGAATGTTCCTTGGAAAGCAGGCTAATGACTACTACGTCAGCTCTTAGGAAGGGCATATCATTTTATACCTTGGACAATGGTGTTTGAAACATAAAAGGAGAAATACTAGCCCTTTCCAGTCCCTACTAGCATCATTCTGTAGCTTTCATGGTCTTGAACATTATCTACATACAAAGGCATTCAATTCCATTAAATAAACATTCCTTAAGTGTCTATAATGTGCAAGGCTGTGTGCTAAGGGCTAGAGATACAAAAACAAATATTAAAAGAAAAATAGTTCCTGCCTTTGAGGACCTTATTTTAGAGTTTCCTGGGCCTTGAAAGTCTGGTGGAATCTCAAAGATTAGAAGCAGTAAGAATTAGGTTCTTGGACAGGGGAGTGCCACAATGGAATGCATGATGGTATAGCCTTTAAATTAAAACAAAACAAAACAAAACAAAACTGTCAAGTGTACAGTGTCCAAAAGTCTTTGTTTAGTTCTAAGCTATTAAAGCTTAAAACTGAACAATTTAAGCTATTAGAATTTTAAACTGAACCAAGACTTTTGGGACACCCTGTCTAGAGTACTAAAAGCCATGTGCTTCAAGGTTTATATTTGCTTTAATCTAACATGTATGTTAACTGCAAAGTTATTTTGAACATACAAACACAAATGAAAATAAGTATATATTTTTTCAATTAAAAGCAAAACTAAACTTCCAAGGACCAAATTGTAAATAAAAATAACAGAATCCACCATTTGTTGCAAATATAGTAATACTTTGCCTGCAAATTTTTTGTGTTTGACATGTTAACTTTTCTTATTTACTAAGTTTTCCCAAGGGCATTTCCTACTTTAATGGTCACATTCTGTTTTACAGGAGGGGTTCAAAATGGGACTAACTCTTGAAGGCACGGTATTTTGTCTTGATCCATTAGATAGTAGGTGCTGATGCAAAGGACAAGAGATCCTGACTCTTGTATGACATTTCTTTTCATCATTGTTATTATAATGTGTACTACAAGTGTTATCCATGTGCCAAAAATTTGTTTTTAGACATGTTAACTTCTGTGAGATAAGCTTCAATGAGACCTCAACACAGATTCAGTGTTGACCTGTAAAATTGTAAAAAGCCACATCTGCATGTGAGCTATTCATTAAGTTACACCCTTATGTTCCTTTCTACTTCTGTCGGAGATAAATTTATATTACTAAAGAAGAGAGAGTCTCTTAATTCTTCTCCTATTTCTGGGTTATAAGTTAGTACCTTTGGAAGCTACATTACCCTTTCTCAGTCCATTAGGATATTATTGAATTCTACTCAATTGTAACTTAATAATTTTTTCCTAGTAGTTTGGAAAAAGAAAGAAAGAAGGAGTCTAACTGAAAACTCAGGACTAATCTAGGCACTTGAAAAATCTGACCATGACTGTGTCTAAAATGATACACGTTAGCCACTTCAGCGGAAGACAGCAAATTGGTTATTTAGTGGTATGAGAGCCCAAAAGAAGTGGTTTGGATTTTCAGTTAGCTTGATGACATCATGTAGTTATAACCAATTATTTTACCTATTAAACCTTTGAAATTTTCAGAAATCATGAGCCTGGTATATCATTGTGTCTGTTAGTTGCTTTTCATATCACTGGAGAATTTTACATTTTGAAAATAATGACCTCAGGTCACTAACTTTCATACTGGTGAAATGATTAGTGAATATAAATTAAAAGGATAATAAAATTGAATGTACTTAGAATATGTAGTAGCAAACATAGATGCCAGGTAACTCCAATTATTATATTCAATTGTTTACTGTGTTTCTTTTTCATCAAGATTTGAATCAACGTCTAAGAAAATATAGAAAATCACTTTAAAATACCATCTTATTTCAAATGAGAGCAATTATATAACAAAGCATATATACCTTTCTAATTTGATAATACAGAGAAAATATATTTGAACATAGATTCTGCATATATTTACAACACATTGTACCAGTATTTACTTTACGAAGCATTTTTCTCCACCAAAGTAGTCTGTCTCTTAGTGGAATATCATCTTTTGACATTGCATTTGGTACCTAGCACAGTGCCTTGCACGTCATAGGCATTTTTATAAGTATTTGTTGAATTGAACTGAATCTCAGATGCTTAATTTGAGATGCCACAATTAGTATTGGTATTTTAACATCTATGACAACCATTCTGTATGAGTAAGTAATCATTGTTAAGGATATGATGTGACCAAATTCTGCTTTAAACCGATTTTCCTTAAGTACAAGTCATTATGTATAGCCATATAAATTAAGTTTCTGCTAGGTCAGACTTGGCTACTTCTATTCCATTAATCATTAACATGAGCAATAAGCATTTCATTTAATTTCATTCATGATTCAGTTATGACCTTGTTCATTGAAAATATTTTTATTACGCAGCTTTACATATGCTTAAAAGGTATAGTAACTATAATAAAGTAATACCCTAAAAGTAAATCTTATTAGATTTCCCCTAATACCACTTTACTCAAAAAAAAAATAACTTAAAGATTTTATGATTTAGAAATAGAGGGGGGTAGGATGGAAGTCCTCCCCCTGAAAAAGGAGTTTCCTTTTTGGATTCATGAATATTTGCTTTTGTTCTGTATCCTACATTAAATTTAACCTGGGATGTTCATGCAACATCACATTTCTTTGAGTTTTTTTTAATGTTTGAAGATGTATATGAGTCTTCCTCTTTTCTATTTTATGTTCAGATGTATCACTAATTCTAGAGTAGTATATGTTTCATAAAAAGAAGTCTTTATAATTTTGTTTGTCATATAGTATTTTGGAATTTGTATAATGAGGATATTTAGTAGCCATATCTCAATGGCTTTTTTAACAGATAGAATTTGTATTTTTATTGTACTTTAAAAAGCTTTATGTAATAGGCATATATTTAGTGGCCATTTACTATCAATGGTAACAATTCAGTACTAAGATATTTGCACATTTAAAGAACTTTTTCTTTACTGATTTTTTAATAGTCATCAGGTATGGAAATGGCATGATTAATAATATGTAACTGGTCATTCAGTTCAAAAATGCTTAATTTAGCAGTGCATTTTTAATGAAAGATTTGGTTGAAAACTGTATATCTTTGTAATCTCAATGGTATGTTTGATTTTGCTGCAAATAAATGTTTTTAAGGAAATTCTGTTGTAGAATTCATTCATTGAATGGTCTACAGGGAATACAGAAATATCAAAACTAGTTAATATATTTTCCTTGATGATTTTCCTTGTTATGAAATATACCAAAAGAAAAAAAAAGAATAGTATTTACTTAATCATCTCTCCAGTTTTCACAAATCTCCTTTTTTTTCAGAATAGACGGACTTCAGTCATTTTGCTGAAATATCTTTAAATTGTGAAAACGGCAAAAAAAAAATCAGAAAACAAGGAGTCATAACTTTTGGAGCCCTATATGTGTGCATGTGTGTCTGTGTATGCATGTGTATATGTTTTCTAGAAGCAAGACTATACTAAGAGCTGAACCACTGATCATACTTTGTGAAGTTCCTTTTTACTTCTTGAGTCTGATCATTAGGAAAGTAATGAGAAGTGCTTATTTTCATAAGCAGTTCTGAAGCTCTCTATTCTCTCTCTCTCTCTCTCTCTCTCTCTCTCTCTCTCTCTCTCTCTCTGTCCCTCCCCCCACATACATATGTGTGTACATATATATGTGTGTGTATACATGTATTCCATCTATATGATGGAAATATCTTCACGAAAGTGGCACACCTAATGGTAGCCTTAAAATAAGTGAAGTCAATGCTAACTTTTCTTGTTTTAAGACCAGTTTGACACTTAATAGCAGTGTGATTCTAAAAAAGTCACTTAACAAGAGTTTAAGTTCTAATGAGGTAACAATATTTGACAGGAGCTGGCCACAGGAAAAGATGTAACCCAAAGTTCGAAGTTAAATCTTTAAGAGACTACTCTGGATCTAAGAGTTGCAAAGGAGTCAGTGTCATCAAAAGATAAAAGGTGTCTTCAGTGTAAGAGGGAAAGCCAGCTTTCCTTGAAGAAGAATTTATTAAAAGTAAGAAAATAGTGAGTTGATTGAGCCGTATTCCCAGTATGACAAAATATTATAGATTTTTTATAGTTTGCGTCAAAGACTATCTTTCTTATTGATCACAGATGTGTTTATAAGTTTGATTTGTCATGTTCTGTTAGATAATAAATAGTTATAATAAAGTATATATTTTTTGAAGTTGGCTTATTTTATATATATTATCTGGTTTTAAAAATCTGATTGGCAGGAGTTATAACTTAATCATTTTTCTCTCTTACAGTACCTAGCATAGGTGCATATTATAGGTCCTTAAAATGTTATTTGAAATTAATTAGGAGTTTATATTCTAGTCAGGGAAAAAAGGCAAATACAGAAATACAAATAAATAGTATGTACTACATACTAGGAAGAACGACACAAACTGCTATAGGAGAAATACTTGTCTTTTGTTGTATTTCAAAGTTTGGAGACTTTGAACTAGAAAAAATCTAGTTGTTTAACTCTGTGCTTATCTAACTTCCAGTATGTTATTTCCCGAAACAGGTAAAATATTTGGTTTATTACATATCAATTGCTTCTTTCATGTTTCTTCCATGATGGTTTTAAAATTTTTAGACAATTTCAATAAAGAAATGCTAGGATCTTATTTTCAGGTGGAATTCCTGAAAAAAATGTTTGTGTTTAATTTTCCAAACCCTGAATTATGTTACTGTTTTCTGATACTATTTAATAGAACCATGAAAAAATAACCGGCTGTTAAAATTTCACATTTTCATGTTTTCATGTTTCCATAGACGTTTCGAAATTCAGTATTTGTTTGTGGTCTTTGAGCCTCTACTTCTGTTAAATTGCTTGAACAATCACTATCCAAAATTTAGCATTCCATCTCCAGAGTCTAACTAAACTCCACCCTTTGTAGGTAGATATCACCAATGCAGGGTGGCATTATATAACAGGGAAAATAGGAATCATGTGACATAGTATGGTGGGTTTTTTTTTTAAAATAAATTAAGCTTAGAGTGTGGACATTAATATTCAGACCATTTGGCCTTTTCCTCCAGTATGTCAAACCACATATATCCCCAGTCTTTGGCTCCATCCTCTCCCATCTTAGACTAGATCAAATTCTCGGGCACTGCCCTCTTCTTTCTTTGCAGACAAAATTCTTTTTTTTTTTCATTTTTCAAAAATTTCTATCTTTTGTTTTTATATCACCTTAATTACCACATATATCTCTTTACATCTCCCTGGAAAGCCATCCTTCATAACAAAGAATAAAACGAGAGAGAGAGAGAAATAGCTAAGAAAATAAATAAATAAATAAATAAATAAATAAATAAATAAATAAAT